CTGAGCCACTTTCTTCAAGATCATGGAGTTTGAGTCTGAGTCCTGCTTACCTTTTCCACTTCTCTTTTGGACTTCGGTTGTTAAACACGGCATCACGGCCCACCACTGCTTTCTGTCACCCTGTTTCTAGTCTTGACCCTTTTGGCCCCTTTAAAACCAACAGTATAATTTCAAAGCATATAAAAGAATTTGGGGATTTGTTTTTTGTCTGCATTTCCTACTTGGTTATATTTGTGGTTTCATTTTTTTCTTCACCTGAAGGAAAAACTATTCCTGAAGTTAATCAGCTTCTTTAGGAAGTTTCCCACCTATAGCCACAGATATGTAGGAACCGTGAGAAGGTCACACCAATCCCTGCTGGCTTTCAAATGTTTATGATCTACTTAAGGAAGTTTGGCAATTTCTTTTCACTTCTTAGACAAGTAAAGCACGATTATATTCTCATTGTAAAAATTCAAACGGTATTTAGAAAAATAGGGTAAAAAAAGGTAGAAGTCTTTTAACAACCCCTAATTCCTAAATTTAGTTCCCTTCCCAAGGGGATCACTGCATGAGGTGTGAACCTTCCAAAACGTTACCTGTGGGTTTATGGGCCCACAGTATGTGCCTCCCAGTTATGGGATTTTATATGTAGTAAATCATCCTGTACATACTCAGTAGCTTTTCTCATATAAGTTTGTTTTGGAGATCTTCCCATGTGAGTCCCTAATGGTGGACATTTAGGTTGTTTCTAATTATTTGCTCTTACAAACAGTGCTATAATTAACATCCTTGTAAATGTCTCTTTGTGCATATGGGCAAGCATTTCTTTAGGGTAGCTATCTATGGTTTGGCAATTTCTGCTGTCTTTAATTGCATTGCCTGGTATCTGGCAGACGATCTTCTGCATGTACAATAACTTTTCATGTCCGTGCTCCATTATAGTGTAAGTTCTAAAAAGATGTTTTAGGCAACAATTAGGAATCTAAGTTTAAGTTCAGATTCTGTGCAGACTGCTCTGGGTAGCTGAGGTGACACTTGAATGAACCTCTACACGTGGCAAAGTTTACACATGCACAGGTTTCCTCTACCCCCACCCCGCCGTCGTTGTTAGGCACATCATGACTTTTGAAACATTAAAATGTGGGGAAATGCATCTTAGAACCAAGGAGTGAAGATATTTTGTTTTCCCCAAAGGAATAGCCCCATAGCCCATCGCTTTGCTTTCACGTTTGAATGGTCCTTTCCTGGGAGCTGATGTCACTGCTTTACCACAGACTCCTTTCCCCTACGGGTGGGTGTGTTTCTGGACTCCTAACTCCGCGGGTCCGCACGTCTGTTCCTGTGGTGGATCAGGGGACAAGCTCCCCCATCATCTTCTTCTTGAGGACTCTTTTTGCACATTTGCCTTTCTGTCTACTGCTCTTTCTTCTTCCCCACACTGTCCCTTTTACACGGGGTGCTTCATTAGCTGTTCACAATCTGCATGATTTTGCATCACGATGGGTCTGATGTGAGAACATCTGCAGCAGTCAAGAGCATATTTTCCTCAGGACTTGACACTGAGCTTGCCATCAGTGTGAAGCGATCTCCCTCTCTCATCTTGTGACATCTCTCAGCATAGCTTCTCTAACATCAGTTATGCCTGAATCTTGAATGGCGTCAATCCGAGTTGAAAATGTGCCAGCTTTCTTAACATGATCACTAACAGACTGCTTAATTAACCTGCTGATACTGTCAATAATAGATCTTGCTGGTGTGCTAGAAAGGAGACCCGTGGCCCACGGTTGGTCTCTCTTTCTCTCTCTCTTTTTCGTTTGCTGAGGCTCTCAGCGCTCGTGACTTGGGAGCTGGACTTGCCAGGAGTGGGGTAGGAGGGACCAGGGAGGCTTGAAAGGAATATGGCAGAAAGGAATGTTCTGGAGGAGATCATGGAAATGAAATCATGGAAACCATCGCATGTTCTCATTGCTCAAACACAGGGATGGCTAGGAACCTGTGCATCCAGCAGGTGCTCAATAAAATGGACCACCAGTGTATACGGCCAGCAGAAGATATTACAGGGCGTGTGCCGTTTGAGTAGGCAGGAACTGTGGGCGTTCTGAGGGAGGGAGCTGGGGGTGTGCCATCATTTTAGGGTGGCTTTTAGGGTTCTTCTGTCTTTTTTTCCATCCAGGCAGCTTAGATGAGGAGAGGGCTTTCTCATGCCTAAATTGTCCTGGAGGGGCTGAGGGGAAAGACTCTGGGTTTTCACTTCTTTTCCTGCTGTGTGTTTCATCCCAAGTGGTTTTGTGTTTGAACCAAAGTCCTACTCTGTCTGCCGTGGCTACATTTTACATTTGGAAATTGCAGAGAGCAAGCAAGATGCCATCATGAGTCTGAGACTGGCTGACCACCACCTCTAAATACTCTCTTCTTTGTCTCCTGCACCTGTGTGTGCACACACACACATGTGCATGCAACACAGGGCTAGAGATATTTCAGTTGTCCCTGGCTTCCCCTAACCTGGTGGGGGCTTGGGTGCAGAAGCTGACGTTCCATGTGAGCTCAGCCAGTGCCCAGAGATCCCATAGAGATGCCAAATGCAGCCCCTCCTTTTATATCCAGAGAAGCCTGGTAAGGGTGGATGCTTTGGGTTTCAGAATGAGCTGGTGACTCCTGACTTCAGGCAGATGCTCATCACCTGGACCATATTCCTTTAGCTTTGCCTTTCCTGCAGCGGGGGTGCTGGTGTGGCAGTGATGTAAGGGGTTCTCAGAGGGCAGAGATCAATGCCTTTCAGGGCAGAAAACCCCAATACCCTCTCCAGTGGTTTTGTTGGGTCTCCTGGGAACCAAGGGCCTGGCAGCCCCCGAGGTGTGAGGGATGCAGAGTGGTCCTGCCGCCACTAGAGGGCGAGGCACTAACACGCAGGCCAGGTGTCCACGTCCCAAGGCCACTCTGAGGGCCCTTCTGGACCCTAAACCCTGGGCGGCAGGCGCCCAGGGCTGGCAGGAGCTCACCTCTGGGGATGAGGAGGGGGAGATTCAGAGCCAGGACTGTGACTCAAGCCCAGCTGGCCCCAAATCCAGGCTCCCAACCTCTCCTTTCTTACCTCAGCTTCACCTTCCGCCTTCTGTCAGTCTCTGTGGAATACAAGGGTTTCTCAACGTCAGCACTACTTACATTTTGGACCAGATAATTCTTTGTGGTGGGGGCTGTGCCTTGTAGGTTGTTTAGCAGCACCTCTGGTCTCTCCACACTAGATGACAGTAGCCACCCCCCACCCCCTCCCCCACGCCAGGTTGTGATCATCAAAAATGTCTCCAAACCTTGCCAGATGTCTCACAAGCTCGCCCCTGGCTGTGTAAGGCAGGTGAGCGGCGCTGCTGTGAGGGCAGGAGGGATCCGGTGCCGAAGAGGTCTGCCTATGGCTACCACGGCGGCTGAGCGTCGTGTGGAAACACAAGAGCTACTCAAAGATGGCGTATGTGCTGTAAATACATTTTAGCACTGTATTTGGTCTCCTGCTTTTCTTCTCCAAAGACTGCAGAGCGTCTTGGTCTTCCCCTCTGTTTATTCCACCTCTCTCTCCACTGTATTGAAATGGGAGACTGAGGCTCAGAGACCCCCAGGGTCTCAAGCCACCCCTCACCTGCAGCCCCCCGTCCCCCAGCTGCAGGCGCCCTCGCCGCCTGCACCCCAGCCTTGGCTCAGGCACCAGGAGCATCTGTGGTCCTCCTCCCACTCCACCTGCCCACTAGGCCCTGCAGCCCTGCAGTTCCCCAAACCCTAGTGCCCCCCCACTGGAGGGAGTGGGGAAGCAGCAGGTGTTGATGCTAATCAGCGTTCACAGCCCAGAACTGCAGTCGCTCCCAGGCTCACACACTCCCCAAAATTAAACACTCATTATACAAAATTAATTGACATTAATTAGCAAAAATTAAAACTTTAAACACAGCAAGGCGCTTTTGGGGGAGGAGTGAAGCAGGCGGCCTCCACATTTGTCACCCCCCCCCCTCCCCACCCGCCCACCACCCTCAAGTCCCCCCACTTTTATCCTGGAGCAGGGTTGGAGGGGGTCGGGGGAGGTCAGCGCTGCAGCGACCCTTCCCCAGGCCCCGGGCCCAGCCCCGCCAGATCCAGGTGAGAGAAGCGGAGGGAGACTCCTGGGGCTAGCCACCAGCTGATGGGTGGCCCCCCAAACTCTGGCATCCAGTGTTTAACTAAGGAGCCAGGATCTGTCATGATCTCATAGCCAAGGGAGGGAACCCAACCATCTGAAGTGAGACTGTAGACGGTCGGCCTTTAGCTCTGCCTGACCCCGCCCCCTGACCCCCATCCCCGAACCCTCCCACCTCCCAGGTACCCAAAGGGCTGGCTCTGTCCCACTTCACTGTGTGACCTCAGATAAGTCACCCCCCTCCCCTGAGCCTCACTTTTCCATCCATATGATGAGGGGGCGGTGCTGGGTGAGCACTGAGGTTGCTGCCTGCTCTGGCACCTGCTGTCAGAGAAGCAGATCTCTGGGAACTTGAGTGGCTCTGAGGAGCAAAGGGCTGAATGTGGGGGGCTGCCACCTCGGGAAAATGCCCAGAAAGGCAGCCCGAGGGACTGAGTTGCTGATGACAGAACACGGGGCGCTGACGGGGCGTCTTCAAGCCAGGGAGCCCCGGCAGATGGGCGTTCACTTCGCCTGCCTGCCAGGCCCAGCCCCCGGGGACAGGCAAGCAGCTCCCTTGATAACTGGTCTCTCTCTAGCTCCTGAACCCTGTCCCCTTCCCCCCTCACACTGGTTCTTTTCCGCCTTTGCTCACCAGGTTCTCAAGGGCGCCCAAATCCTTCAGCAGGCTGGGGGGGCAGATGGGCATCAGAACCATACCTTCACCCACTGCGTCTGAACGCAGACTCGATGCCTGCTGCTGGGACCGTTGCTGCTAGAGGCAGGGAGGCTTGGGTGCAGCCCAGGGGCTTTCTCCACCAGCTAGAACGGCGTCCTCCTCTCGTACTCGTGCCCCCTGATCCCCCTCCCCTCTCTCCAGCCAGTGCCAATATCTGCAACGTGGTCCTGATGCGGTACGGGGAGCTGGAGGAAGGCATCGATGTCCTGGATGGTGATGGCAACCTCGTGGGCTCCTCCAAGATTGCAGCCAGACATGTGGGTCATCCGGGGGCTCAGGGGGCCAGTGGGGAGGCCAGCAGCTAGGAGAGGGGTTCATTCCTCAGGGGCTTCTGTGCATAGCGCCTCTGCTTTGTTTGTCCTGTGGTTCTGCCCTCCTTGCCCCACCCTGCCTCCCATCTGCATGAGCCCTGGGCCTCCAGGTCTGGCCCCAGCCACACCTGTCCCTGCATAGTCCTCCCTTCTCTCCATCCCGCATCGCCACTGCAAGACATCCCATCTCTTGTCCCAGCCCCTCAGGACCTGACTTCTCCGATCTGTTAATTGGAAAGGGCAGAGGAGACGCCCAGAGCTTTCTTTCCCCTACCCCGGGACCTAGGGCACTGTTCCCTGGGCCTTCATGGCCTCTTGGGCCAGAGGAGGAAGCGTTGGAACAGGTGGCTCGCCATCCGGTGCTAATAGGCGCTTCTACAGGTGCTACTTCATGAGGGACCCCGTGTGGCTGAGGGGGCGTCTGGGGATGAACAGCTTGCTGCAAGAAGGCCCCCTTTCACCTCTCATTTCATTGGCCTCGCCCCCTCCAGCAACCGTAATTTTTTTAGAAAATTCTAGTCCGTTGGCATATCTCCCCATGCTTTCCCAGCCTTTGCCCAAGTGGTGATGAGTGGCTTGTCCTTCTCTGGCCTCTGAGTGCTGGCATGGGGGTCAGCCGTGATAGCTGAGCATTCACCGCTGCCCCAGCCACTGTCCATCATCGGCTCCCACGATGCGCCCCAAGCCTCACCTCCATCCGCGATGACTTCTCTGTAACCCCCTGCTGGGGCAAGACCCTTCTCTTGTTCCAGCGCTCCCCTCCCCACTGGTCTCAGAGAAAGTGGGTGCCCGTCCAAGGCTTGTGAGGGGCAACGGGCTCGGGGACACCAGGGCCTGCACTGCGTCTTCTGCTTCCTGTGCTGGCTCTGGGCACCCCCATCATTCCCATGCCTGTTTAGCAGACTGGAGGGACCTTCTCCCAGGCCTTCCAGAGTCTGATCATAAAGGACCCAGGTTCCTGGGAGAAATTTTCAGCCCTGAACCTATCTATCCTTGAAGGTGATTTAGTCTCAATTTCCTACCCGATCCCAACCTCGCATCCAACCCTAGTGTTGCCCCTGATGTGCTGAGAAGGAGGCCAGTCATAGTAACTCTCCTTATGGTGCCAACAGCAGGGAACCCCAGGCTCTTTTGCAGCCCTGGGCTTCCCTCAGCTTGGCCGGGTCAGCCCCTTGCTGTCTAGGGGAAGGCTCTTGGCGGGGCCTGGGAGCTATGAGCCATTCCTCAAGCCTTCTCTGAGGGCCAGGAGCCCATGGACTTGAAGGAACTCCCCACAATGACCATCAGAGTGCAGAACAGCCTCTGAGCTGTGCCTTCACCATGCCCCCACTCCCCAGGAATCCTGAGGGAACTCCCAGAGCAAGGACCCAAGCAACCCCATATGGAGACACAGCAAACACTGAGCAGAAGCATTTCCTGCTTACAAAGCCGACCTCTTGTCACTAAGAAAGGCTCTCATCCAGAGCCAGGAGATGCAAGATCTTCCAAATCGTTGTCTTTAAGGGGTGTCAAAAAGGAAAAAAAAAAAGTAAATCCCAGAATCTCTGTCTTCCTTCAGCACCAAGAGCCTCACGCGGCTCAGCAGGCCCCAGCTGTTTGCTCCGGTCCTCCCAGAGCCTGCTTTGTTTTTAGAGCATCTCGAGTCCTCCATATGCTTCCTCCCCAGACCCTGCGCCCGCCACTCAAGCACGTCCCTGGGCACAGGCCCCTTCCTGGGGCCGCTTCTGTGTTGCCACCCCTCCCCCACACGTGGCAGGTGACAGGGATATGCTCTTTTCAAATCTGTGTGGTGGGAAGATGGGGGTGGCTTTTTTCTGGTGTTTGGAATAAGGCTTCATGAGCAATTCCATGAATTATTCCATTCCGCCAGATGTGCTTAGCAGCAGTACGCACACCTAGGGGCTCCAGAGAGGGGTTCACTGCCAGGTGGCTGCCCCCCACCCTGGGAGCTCTGCTCATCACAGCCTCTGCTTGCCCCTCAGGCCCTGCTCGAGACGGCGCTGACGCGGGTGGTCCTCCCCATGCCCATCCTGGTGCTCCCCCCTATCGTCATGTCCATGCTGGAGAAGTGAGTTGGGGTAGCTGGGAGGGAGGGGCCACCGTTGGGGAGGAGGGTGGGAGGGAGGGGGTACCAGCCGGCCCAGGGCAGGGGACAGGGGAGCAGCTGGGAGCCTGCCCTACTCCGGTTTGTTCAGACACTCCAGGCAGTGTTACTGGAACGGTGCTGTGAGTAATCCCAGACTTGTACTAAGCAGGATCCCGTGCAAGGTGCTAGGAAGGGTGTCCAGACGGACAGCGCTGGCCCTGCCCGGAGGGGCTGACAGTGCCGTGGTGTGCGTGTGTGGGTGTGGGTGTGCACGCGTGTTCTCTACTAGCGCACAGAGCAAGACCTGTTGTGAAGAGAAAGTATGAGGATTATAGTAGGAAGACTAGATTGGGGGCCAGGGCCACCCTCTTCAGGCATCCAGCCACTAGGCAACCCACTACCTCACTGAGCCTCAGTTTCTCATTTATAATATACAAGCAGTACTAACCTCCCTGCCTTCCTCCGAAGCATGTTCTGAGAACGCATATTTGTCATGACTGTAAAGATGGAAGGGAACACAATAGTAAGAATGATGATAGAGTGATCCTGTTAATTAGTGAGCATGAGGTTGAATCATGAAGAAGACATGCTGCTAGAAGGGCAGGTGAGGGGCCAAAGGGAGGAACCAGAGCTGACCTTCACATAGGTTTAGGCAGGCAGTGAGCACTCCCTCCCTCCTGGCGGCCCAGCCTGGGAGGGGGCACCTCAAGGCATAAGGACAAGGTCAGGGGCGCTCCACCTGAGGCTCGGAAGTGGGACTTTCTTATTCCCACAGTACAAATTATAATAGCAGCTAACATTTATTAAGTGCTTACTACCTGCCAGTCCTCTGTCGGCCGGGTCTCTGCCCAAATGCCAGCTCTTCAGAGAGTCCCTCCCTGACCACCCCATCGAAATAACCCCATGACTCCCTCTTCCATCCATTGCCTTATTTGTATTCGTAGCACTTAGCAACATCAGAGACTCTTTATCTAGTTGTCTGTTATCCGTCTGGTCCACTGGAATGCCATCTCCATGGAGGCAAGTACATTCTTTTTATGTCTTGCCTTGCACAGCATCTAGCACAATTCCTGGCACACAGTAGATGCTTAGCGTTTGTTGGATGAATGAATGATCTCATTTAACCATCACAACAGCATGGTGAGGTAAGTATAATATTCCCATTTCACAGATGAGGAAAACAAGGCAGAAAGAGGTTATATCTTCTGCCTATAGTAAGCCAGTAGGAAATATCAGAGCCAGGAGTGAGCCAGGAGCTGCAAACCTGGGCTCTTCCTACCACGCAGACTGCCTCAGGTCTTCAGATCACATCACATAATCAGCATGTCTTTGGGTCTTGCCCTGCATGGAGACAAGACAGGAGCAGACTTGGGGTCCTGGTTTCAGGAAGCCTGTATTTTGATAAGAGAGATGGGCATGACCCATACATGAGTCAGCTGCAGGTGGGACTGGGCAGTATGTAAACAGGCCCAAGATGACCTTGAGGGGAGGGAACACTAGACTGGAGAAGGGCTGCCGCTGACTCTGAGAGCAGGGGAGGATTTCTGTGGAAGGCCGGCTGTCTGGGCAGGGTGTGGGTCCATCGTGTGGGGAATTGAGGAGTCTAGCCAGACAGAAGCAAAGTGTGCTCACTGGGGCCAGCAGATGAGGGGCCCTGAGTCCAGCCAAGCAGATGGTCCCTTCCTCACCACGGAAAAGGGGGAGGGGGTCATGGGAGGGACCTGAGCAGCGGTGTGGCGTGTTGAGTACCAGGATTCAGGAAAACCAATCTCATGTGGGAGATCCTGGGGGGGAAATTGTTTTGGTGGTCCCGGCCCTTGTGTCCATAGCTGCCTCGTGAACTGAGGCTTTCCCCAAACACCAGTGACTGCAAGTACACAAGAGGAGACCACCAGGCAAATGAGGAAGGTAGGGCTTCTGTCTTCAAGGCTACTGAATCCTGGGCCTGGAGTTTGCTGTGATGCCTTTCCAGTTGGCATCGGAGTTGGGTTTGCCGAAAGTGGCGTGGAGTGATGGTTAGTTTGGGGACTTAAATAGCTTGGGGAAGTTGTGTGGGATTGTTCTAGTTCTGAACCTCCCGGCCTGGGATCTGCCCAGAGTCTCGGCTGCCATGTGTCTGGCTCAGCTCAGAGTCTGAAGAAGGCCCTCTGGTAGGCGGAGACAAGTGGGCCATTTGGTTCTGGCCGCCCGGTATTCGGTCAGTCCTTGTCTGACGTGCCTGAGAGGGTCTCTGAGGAAGAGAAGGAGCCCAGCTCAGGATCCCTGAGCACTCTCGAGACCCAGTCTGTGCCCTCGAAGACTTACTAACCTCACGTCTGTCCAGGAACGCGCGACTGGGTGACGGGAGGGGCAGGGCCGTGTAGCGGCGCCAGCTGAGACTCCTGGTAAGAACACGAACCCGGGGTTCCTGCTCCAGCACTTTTTAGGCCAGGGTAGTCGAGGAGACTCCCTCGGCCTCAGTTTCCCCCCTGGGGAACGGGGACACGGCCCTCTTCACCGGCTCTTTCGGCAGGCCTTTGCGTTTCGCGCCCTCCAGGAGGAGGCTCTGCCTTGCTGGGGCTCCACGGAGCACCTTTCAGCCTTCCCCGCAGGGGTGCTGGGGGCAGGGCCTCTGCCGAGTTGGCTGATGGGGGCGCCGCTCCTCCCCTCTGAGAGCCCAGTCGGGTGAGGGAGTCAGGACAGCCAGGGGGAAAAGACAAAAGAACACTTACAAAGCAGCCTACTTGCAAATTAATGGAGTGCCAACTAAGATTGCTCCAAGTGCTGAGGGAATGCGCGGCCGTGGGGAGACAAGCTGTTGTGCGGTGCAGCGGCCGCCTGGCTCTGCCTCTGGCCTCAGCTCCTCATGGTGGGAGGACCGGGAGACACGGTCCCTGGGGTCCCTGCTAGCAGAAGAGAGGTGGGAGGGAGCCCAGCATGTCCAGGTGTCCCCGTCCCCGAGACCGAAACGGAAAGAGTCTCAAGTCAGAAGCAGAGGAGCCTCCACCCCCAGCCCAGAGCCCTGGGGGAACACGGAGGGTGTACCCCCCTCCAGCACACACACTGCACCTTCCTTGGGGCTGAGGGCTCCCCCTCCAGCTTTACCCTCCTAAGTAGGAAGCTGGTGTTGGTCCTCGGCCTGGGAGATCCATCCTCCCCATAATGCCTCCAACTCAGAGGCAGGTGCATCGGCTCTCTCCCCGCCCCAGCCCTGCATCCCTCGCCCTGGAGGTCGCCTTCCAGCGCCTTCTAGCCTGTGGGGGTCTCAGCGGGGCAGGGCTTCGGGCCACATCCTCCCCTGTGGTTCCTGAGGCCGCTCCCCAGCCTCCCTCATTCCCTGGGCTCCGGGTCTTTCCTTTCTCCAGGCATTCGCACACGCACATCTCTCCATCTGCATATTTCAACTCCCCCAGCTGCCTTTCCGATCCCTCCCTGCCATTTCCCTCTCCTCCTCCCCTCCCCCGTCCTGCTGTGTTCACTCTCCCTGCTCAGGGCTGGGACTTCAGGGGTTCCTGTTAGGCTGAAGTCTTGGGGCTGCCTGCTGCCTGAGTCAGGGGCACAGGCCTGGGGCTTCCTGGACCGCTTTTCCAGTGCAGATTCCGGCCAGCCACCCCTGAGAGGGGGCCAGGGTCACAGCCCCATGGGGCAGGAGGCTGTCCGTGGTCCCTCCCAGGAGCGAGACGGAGGATGGAGCCCGTGGCCCGCCCCTCCCCTGCCAGGGAGGGAGCTTCACTCTTCTCCCTGTCCCCCTCTTTGCCCTTGGTGACCCTCCAGTCTGTAGTGCTCGGGACTTCACACCCTCCTGTCCCATTCCCCTGCTCTGATTCCCCACCAGGGACTGAGGGCCCTGTCACTGCCACAACTGACCAGGAGGGTAGCCCCGCCCTCCACAGCCTCTTCAGGGCAGGGGGACTCCTACGAAGGTCTGGAGACTGAGCCTGGGTACCCCACCTCCTTGTCCTGCCGGAGAAGTTGATCTCAGGTGAAAAGGTCTCAGAGCCCATTTCAAGCATCTGTGACTCCCAGGGAAGCCAGGAGGCCCCCGGGGCTGGTGGGGGGCGGGGGTGGCTCACCTGGAGGACGGGAAGAGGGTGGGGGCACCGGACTAGGCTGAGGGGAAGTCGGATGGGTTCGAGCTTGGTCTAGGCACCTTTGCCCTGCGGTTCTTAATCCTGTGACACTGCCCTCTCCAGGCTTAATTCAACAGCCAGCCAGGTCTTGGGGTCTGGGCCACTGGGAAGGGCTAGAGGACAGTGTCACTGGGATCCTCCCTCCTTCTTGCACTAACAAGAGCAAAAACAGCAACAATAACCCACAATCACTGAGCACTTACTGTGTCCAGGCCTTTTATTTGCAGAGAATTTATAAGTAATTGGAGCTTTTTTGGTACCCTAGCAGGAACCTCCTGGGCCAGGGTTTCTCAGAGGTGTGGTCTGGGGATCACCTGTTTTAGACTCATGGAGGCTTGTTTGAAATGCAGAGTCCCAGTCATAGTACCAACCGAATGGGGATCTCACTGGGGTAAGGGGCCCTTGGGGGTCTGCCTTGGGAAGCAGATGCCTAGACACCAAAATTTGAGAACTGTGGCTCCCAATTTTGCTGTCTGCGCAGGGCCAGGTGCTCTTGGGATTCTTGTCCCGGGAGGTGAAGGTGGGGTGGGGTTTGCCTGTCGCCCACACTGAGGCCCTGCCCCCAAAAGGGCCTCTCGCCTGCCGGTGGCCACAGCCAGCCCTGTTCCAGCAGGAGGGGCCGGAGCCTGATGATATCCTCTTCATCCCAGGAGCCAGTCCCACTCATGAGGGGGCCGACACAGTTACTGAGGTCAGACTTGGTGCCCCCCCAACATCCTCTGGCCAATCGTCCAGTCACCCATCCTGCTGGCACGGCTATCCCAGGCCTCCCCAGGTAGAATGCTTGGTGGTCTCGGCCACGGGGACTGCTGGAGTACACAAAACATAAAGCTCTGATGGGCAACACAGTGAAGGTATATTCGCCAGTGGGCACGGCCCCACTCTGTCTGGAGAGCTGCTTTATCATGCAGCTGAGGGGCCCAGGGCCTGGAGGGAGTCTCTTCGTGTACTTCTCCTGCCCAGGAATCCTGTCAAGGGGGGGTGGGTGTCAACACTGGCAAAGGGTTCTGAAGACAGGAGCTGGGAGCGGCGCGGGACGGTAGCACTTGCAGACCGCAGTCCGGCCTGCCTCCTGCAGACGTGGCTGTGGCCTGGGGCAAGTCCCTGCCCTTCTCTGTGGCTCTTGGATCAAAGCAGACCAGGTGGTCAGCGGGGTGTGTTCTGTTCCCATACTCAGGTGTGTGTATGCGTGTGTGCGTGCGTGCATGTGGGTGCCGTCTGTCTCCTCCCCTGGACCTGGCTTCTACTCTGGTTTGTTCAGTATTTTCTTATGTGCTGCCTTTGAGGACCATCCTTCTCTGCTGTGTGTCTCCCCAGGGGCAGGGGCCGACAGCCACCTTTCGTGTCTCCCCCACATGTGGCCTTCTTTGCACAAGGCTGGACACCGGGTGGGATGGGTGCCCCCCAAGTACTCACTTGTGATGTGTGATTGAGGATTCAAGCAGCACTGTCCTTCCGGGCAGGGCCTGGGGGAAAGGGCGCCAACTGGGGAAGGCCCCAAAGACAGAATGCCACCACAACTATTTAGCTGTGGGCTGGCAGTGGCCCAGGACCACGCTGCCCGGGTCCTGGGACTCTGGGTGGGACCCCGCATGGTGGCTGGCAGCCAGCTCAGCCTGTCTTCTGGTCTCATGGAGCTCCCTCCTCCCTCCTACAGGACGGCTCTCCTGCAGGCACGTCCCAGGCTCCTCCTCCCCGTGCAAAGCCTTGTATGCCTGGCGGCCTTCGGCCTGGCCCTGCCACTGGCCATCAGCCTCTTCCCGCAGATGTCAGAGGTCAGTGTGGGGAGGGTCGGTGTGGGGGGCAGGGCAGGGAGGGGTGCGGTTTGGCCGTTTATTAACAAACACTTATTCAGGGCCAGCATCTTAGCCCGGAGCTAGGCATTGGGGTTAGAACCATGAATGAGACAGGTCCAGGCTCTGACGTCTCCTGAGCTGAAGGCCGAGCAGGGAGCGTGACAATTAAACAGGGACCAGCAACTGAAGGGCGAGGACAAGGAGCGGAGGAGTGCAGCTGGATGTGGGACGAGGCAGTAGAGGGCCCCAGACCCAGCCTAGAGGGAAGTGGCATTTCATGGGGCCTGGAGGAGGAGCTGGACCTGGCCAGAGGGGACATGTCGAGCTGTGGTCACCTGGGGTAAAGGTTCTCAGGAGAGGGATCACACAGCATAGAGCCGAGGAAAATCCGCATCACAAGCAGAGAATGAGCAGAGTGAGGTAGGCCAGGGCAGGTGGAGCTGGGAACTGGGAGGCCAAAGCAGAGAGGGTAGGTGTCCTCCGAAGGGCTAGGCAATGGAAGACTGCAGATTCCTGACTGTGGGCCTGTCTGGAGCTCTGGAGGAGAAGGAGCCATCAGGAGGTGGTGGCGGGTGTCCAGCAAGAGATGGTGGCAGCTTGGACCAGGCTCCCGGCAGTGGGCATCGAGAAGTGGGTCCTTTAAGGGAGAGTTAGGATTATGAGGAACTGCAGGTGGGGGAGGGAGCCGGCACGCGGTGCACCCAGCTTGCTGCTTTTGAGCAACCAGGCAGATGGAGGCGCTACTGAGCAAGATGGAGACCCGAGGAGGGGCGGTTTGAGGGCGGATGGCGTGCGGTGCGGAGTTTGATAGACACGCAGACACGCGGGGCGGGGTCCGAGGAGCCTGTGGAATGTGTGAATGGGGCCGTCCGGTGGGAAGTGGGCTCTGGGGCTGGAATCCAGGAGAGAGGCCTCGGCTAGAGGGACAGAAGTAAGGTCACCAGTATAAAAACAGTCGTGGCAGCCAGGGAGCACTGTGGAGAAAAGAGGCCCCGCGGCAGGGTGGTGTCCGCAGACCGGAGGCCAGGGTGGTGGGGACAGAGCCAAGTGGGGCCAGGAGGAGGGGGGCCATGCACAGGGCAGACACTCCTGATAGGCTGAACTCCACAAAGCTGAAGAGTGTCCACTGGGGTCCCCGGCGATGAAGGCAAACCCTCGCCCCAAGGGTGGACCCAGCTGAGGGGTGAGGAAATGGGGAGGCAGGACTGACCACTCTGGCCAGAGGCTTGGTGCCCCAAGAGAAAACAGAGAAATAGACCTGCATCTGAAACGAGAGGTGGGATCAAGAGAGGCTTTTATTTACTTATTTTTGCCTTTTTTAAATGAGAGAGACTGGAGCTTGTGAAAATGCAAAAGGGAAGGCACCAGAGGAGAAGGCGAGGACATGGGGAGGAGGAAGACGGGGAGAGCAAAGTCTGGGACATGGGGGTGAGGCAGAGCACAGGCCCGGGATTCTAGGGATTCGCCTTGGCTGCAGAGAGCCTGCTTCCCCACTTCAGCAGCAGGGAGGCAGATGCAGCTGGGGATGGTGTTTGGGGGTGGGGAGGTTAAGGAAGCTGTTCTGATGGCTTCTGTGAGCTCATGATCAAGCAGAGAAGGAGGAGGGTGCAGGAGGGGGAGGTGAGAGGTTTGAGGACCGCGGAGCCATTCAGAGGGGAGAATGGGAGAGACAGCTGACCAAGGAAGTCAGAGGAGCCTGGTGGGCAGTGGAAGGGGGTCTGCGGAGGGGCTCGCTGAGGGAGGACACAGCTCTGTGGGTGTGGCCAGGGCCTGGCTCTCTAGAGGTTCTTGGGGCTGCAAGAGTTATAGGGTTCACCCAGCAGGTTTCATCCGGCTGGATGGGGCATTCGGGGAGTAAGCCATTGGGAGGAGCAGTGGGCCCCAGAATCTTAGCTGGGTGGGGATGAAGATGGGCGAGTAAGCTGAGTGGGGATAGCAAGGTTTGATGGGGGGCACGTTCCTGGAGGGAAGTCGGAAATGTGAAAATGAGGGGCCTGGACTGTGGGGACTGAAGACGCAGGGTCCTAAGTAGGAAGACACAGGGTCCTAAGTAGGAGGTGGTGAGCCAGCCTCCAGGCCCCAAGATCCTGGGAATGTGGGGACTGGAGTCACTTCCCTCCATGGAGCCCCAGAGATTTAGCAGGAAACGGGGGCCGGGAGGGGCTGCTGTCTTGGGGGGGCCAAGGCACACTGGGGTGGGGAACCTGGTGTGTGATATGTGCCGGGAGATCCCTCCTGCCCACAGTGCCCAGCCTTCCCGGGAAGCCAGGGGTACCTCTCCCCCCTCGAAAGCTGAAGAGCTGTTACCTGATGTCTGGGGACTCTGAATGGAGCCAAGGGCTCCAGATTGCCTGGAAGTTGTGAAGATGGGAGGGAGGGCACTTCCTGGTGGTCTTGGCATCCCCGTCTTGGAAGGGCTGCGCCCAGCACTCCCCAAAGCGGCAGCATCTCTCCGTACAGTCAGGCTAAGTGTGCAGCTCTAGGCGAGGGTCAGAGGTGCCTGGAGGCACCACCGTGTTCAGAAGCTCTACCTCTCTGCAGGGGGAGGGACCCAGGGCGGAGAAGCCTCACGGTACAGAATTGGGGACTGACGTGTTGGAAGGATCGCTCAGGGTCATCCAGTTTACCATCCTCTAGGCTCTGCTGGGGAAACGGAGGCCCAGAGCAGCCCAGGCACCAGCCCAAAGTCACAGAAGCCAGATGCCGATATGAGAGGAAACCCCAGAGGCCCACTCCCAGGCCAGAGCTCCCGGGAGATGCTGCATCTGTTTGTTCTACAGGATTTTCTCTCCTCCCTCAACCGCTTTGCCTGCCCTGGGCTAGTGGAGAGAGGAGGGGGGTGGGGGCTCCTGTGGGGGCCGGGGAGGAAGGGTCTTGGAGTGCTGTGGGCCTTCCGCAGGTGTCACTCTGGGGTGAACGGTGGAGAGCTGACCACAGTCCACCCACCTGAGCCTCTGGCTGTAGCTGCAGGAGGTGGTCTCCATGATCAGGCCTGGCCTCACTGAGGCTCCCTGTCAAGGTCCAGGCTCCTCTCTTCCCTCATGCCTGCCTCAAATAGGCATGGAAATTAGTTCTTCCGAGTGTCTAACCAAAGTCCCTGTCATTGAAACCCAAGGCTTTTTTCTAGGCAGGGAAGAATGTCATCATTGCATGAGAAGTGTGTTCTCTGAGAAAGGAGGGTAAGGACGTGGCCTTCAGTGCCCGCTCCCCACCTGCATCAGCCCCCACCAGGATGCAGGCCGGCCTGGGCCATATGGGGTGTTTTGAGGCCTATCTGTGACCTACGGCACCAAGGCCATCGGCCAGTTGGCTGAGAGGACCTCATTCCCCCGTTCATCCTCCCAGTTAATCCTCTCTAACGAGGTACTGCTTCTGCCTTATGGGGATCCTGTCTCACATCCCAGAAGCCAGTGGGATTTGCCACAATACGTCTGGACTTGCTTGGGCTGACCCATCCTTGCCAAGAGCCACCAAGGTTGTCAACAGGAATAATAGCTGGAACACGAATTAATTAACTAGGGGACTTGGAGATAGAGTTTAGGAACTTGTTTCTAGAATGGCTGGCCTGCAGTGATCGGTGTGGAGTTTCCAACCCACTAACCCCAGAGGCTGAGGAAAGAACTGCAATCCTCCCTTCAATCCCTGGGAGAGAGTTTTGTTTGCTCTTTTCAAATTCGTATTTCTGCCTATTAAAATGGTGCTAATTTTAAAATGAAAATTGCAAATAATAACACTAGCGACCACTTGCTAAGCGTCTCCTGGGCTGGCCAGTGTGCTGGTGACTGTGTGTGCCTTGTTGTATTAAGTCCTCTCCATGCCCTTCACGTCCAAGGTGTCAGTGACTCTTAATGGATGTTACCTAAACCATTAGATGTCTGCATCTCAGAATCGGGGGAGAGGTTTTGGCTGGAGATGTGGAATCTTTGGTGCATGGGGGGAACTGAAGCCAAGGGAGGGATGAGGTCATTGTGGGAGGAAGGAAAGGCATCAGGAAAAGACAGGAGCAGACGGGGGCAGGGGGAGGATGCTGATGGAGTGCCTTCATGGACCCTGAGGACAAGGGCGTTTCAAGGAGGAGGGGCTCTCTACAGAGTGAGCTACTGTAAGGGGGACCAGGAGCTGAGATTAGCAGCCGGGGGTGGGTGTAGTAGGCAAAGCAGTCTAGGAGGCGTATGGTAGTCAAGTTTCTCTGTGTTCAGGGAAGTAAGCTCATGGATGGGAAACCGCTAGAGAACAGCAAAGAAAGTTTCACTCCCTGGGTGTTCCATGAAATGGGGATGGTAGCCTGGAGAGGGGCAGTATGGAGATGAATGGACAGGAAGGGATGCACATAGCTCAGGACAGAAAGGCATGGCCCTGGTCCAGTAAGTAGAGCAGCCCACTTGGTTGGGGAAGGGAAATGGGGGTCCAGAACATGATTGTCCTATGAAATAGGCACCTATATTATTCCCTATTTACAAATGAGGAAACAAATGAGGCATGTTTTGCCCAAGGTCCAAAGTTGGTAATGATGGAGTCGGCTCTATAATCTTAGAAGGATTTTATACCTCTCCCCAGCCCACCTCCACCTCACTATAAAATGAGAAGGCCTGGGTCTGAGCCCCAGATGGCTCCCTGCTGATGTATCCGTAGGAACATTCCAGCACCTTCAGCCAACCCTCCTACCCTTCAGGGAGACCATTGTTCACAGGGACCTTCTGGAGTAGGTGTCTGTGCCTTTAATCTATAACCCAGAGCTGGGGGTGGGGGAGGTGTTGTCTAGTGGGCCAGCAGGTGGGGCAGGGAAGCTCCTTAGGATGTTGGGTGTGAGAACAGGGGCGTATGGGCTGGCCTTCTTCCAGACCCCAGGACCGTCACCATGCAGGGAGCGTCAGGTCTGCCCTAGCAGACCCTGTGTGACCTGCAGGTTAAGGCTGTGGGGCATTGGCCAAGGCCGGCTCAGTCATGCTGGGCCCAGGCACGGACCCATCCACACCTAG